AAAATTTGGAAAAGATATTCCGATTACATTTTTTTTACCCGGGCCTAGAAAAATCCCTTTGGCTAAAAAGTTTTTGAAATAGGAAATGTGGAAAATTCGGGTTATCTTATCTCCCAATGATGTACTGATTCGGAAAATGAATTTCACTGAGAAATAATAGTGCAACAAAAAAATAGCGGTTAGAGTCCCCTCAAGCTGCGCCAGTTGGCACCCCCCGGAGAATAAATTTTCAATTTGAAAGGAAACCCGGTGCCTCGGAGACGATATCTTCATACAAAAATGACGACAAAGAGCCGCTGCAACAGCGGAGTCAGATAAAATTCGAAGAAAGAATTCCCACAATCAAGCCAATGTTCATTTCAAGAGTTCCGCCGTTTTTAATTTATAAAGTTTATACGCTCATGTTATTTCCCCCTCATTTTTACCAACGATATATCGCAAGAGCGGACGAATGCTTTCATTGCAGACAATGGGACAATCCGAGAGATAACTCAGCTTTGATCTAGCTTTCTCGTTTCCACCGCTCGTTTCTTTCTCCGTATTTTGATGACGTGTCGACCAGACAACAATTCCTCATGTCTGCAGCTTTATTCTGCACGAGATCCCTTCATTTCCCCTCATTTCGACTCAAGATATCGATATCCAGTCTCAAAATGTAACCGTACTCAAAAAACAAATTACCACTTCTTCAGTTCTAATAATAATTCTAGAATTATTCTTGAAATAGTCCTGTCACGTGTCACGTCATTCTCGGGGTCTCAAATGTCACATCTCGCTAGATTTATCCAGCCATCTAATTGAAAATGTATTCATTTTCAGAAAAGTTCTAAAACCCATCGCAATTCCTCGCAATTGCTCCCTGCGGTGAACGAAATGTCCCGGCAATTACTTAAAAAATGCTCATGCAATGTTGAGATAATTCAAATCTCATTCTAGTTTATTTATTTATTTATAATTTCGTCTGATGACGCAATCTGCTACTGGCCGATGGACTGGAAAAATTTTTTTATATGAAAAAATTCTGGACATCGAGTAAATGGGAAATTTCTATATTTAGAAGATTTTTTATGAATTCCAGGGAATTTCCTAGCGAATAATTATTTACCCTTGGGGATTCACCTGAATTATGGAATTTTCGGCTTTGTACTGATAACCGTCGAGATCTTATTTGAATTTTTCCCGGGAACTTGAAATTCCATAAACTTTTTTCACCTGAATTGAATGAAAGGTCTTTTCCAGAAAATTCAACCCAAACTTTTTAACAGTGTTTCAAATTTCCAACAAGCGAAATTTCTACTGAATCTTCAATGAATTCCGTCATTTTAAATCCAGAATGTAATTGAAAAATCCGTAGAATATTCATTGTCAGTAAAAAATTTCGATCTACCGCAAAAATATGGGCTTTCTCTTTTTTATAATTAATATATATTTGAAAAATGTAAATGAATTTTCGAAAGAGGCAGTAACGAATTTAGTTTTCCGATGACTTTTTTAGAGGACAAGTGAATATTTTGGTGTAGGAGGGAATCTTGGTGAAATGTAATTTTTTCAGCAAGTGAAAATGAGGAAGAGAATAAAATTGGAATAGGATGGATAAAAAAGAGACATGGAAGGATTTGTATCGATCGACTTGGCTGGCACACGCTCGATTAGACATGGATTGGACCGACTCAAACTTTTCACTAGGATCGTCTAAGAACGAGCAAGACGCAAACTGAAACCCAAGAGGTGGATAAGAAAAAGAGAATAAAAAAGTAAAGAAGCATCAAGAAGGAGGGAGGAAAATGGGGAAGACACGTTCATTGTTAACCCTCAGTGAAGTGCGATAACCTGAAAGTAAAAGGAATGACAGCGCAAGCTAACTCACGCGCAAGCGCCTATTCCGCCATTGCTTTTTTCCCATATTGACTTGTCTACCACGTGGTAATGGTGCTTCTTCAATTTGGCAATGGAAATATTTTTTTTTCTATTGAAAAATATCGGGGACGAGGGCTGTCATCAGCTTGACCCTCTTTGACCTCTTTGATGGAACTCCACTGCATGATTACAGCTTTTCCCACACATGGGGTTCCATTTATTCAACCCTCCCATTTTTTTTTTCTTTCTCATTAATGAAAAAAGGGTCCAGGGGTTGTTTGATCATGGACGACTCGTGATTGCATGACTTAGTGACTCTAATATGGAAAAAGTGATGATTAATTCGATGAATCTGATTTCTGGTAATGAAGTCAGTGGTTCAGGGTACATACGCCTTTCTGAAGCTGGAGGATTAATCGAAATTTTATGTGGAGAATATTTTGTGAGAACATTTTTTGGGACAGCTGAATATTTTTTGTTTCAGTCACGATGGAATTTTATTTATTTTTTTTGAAAGATTTAATTTTTCGATTTTGGGAGAATTTTCAATACGGGCTCTAATATTTTCCTTCAATGTGATACCATGTGAAAATCATGATATTAAATATATTATGGCAGCTGATTGGGAGTTACGAACAATGTGTAGAGAAAATTTAATAACAATAACGCGACGATTTCTCTTTTGAATTTGGAAAGTGCGTATATAAAATAAAACGTTCATTTAATATTCAATTAATTCATTGTAGATTATGGAATGGGATGAAAATAGATTTTGCATATCGCATTTCACAATTTCATATTTTCCACTCACATATTTTCCCGGTGAATTCAACTGCTGGTGAATTGACTCGAAATTTTTTACAACCCCAAATTTGCATAAATTTTCTCTCCATTTTTACCAGAAAAGTGCGGTAATTTCTTTGAATATTCAACGAAATTCTAATTTCGTCGTCCACACGACAACAAAAATAAGTAAAAACTCTGAAAATTGAGGTCAATATTTTCGTGAATTCCCAAGCTACAGATAACACTCCAACCCTAAAATATCGAATGCCCATAATCCCGAAAATTCAAGCCACCCTCCAAGCCTCAACAATAACCAACAAAGAAATCTCCAATAAACCATAATTAAACAGAACACCTAATGAACATTGTAATCTTAAATGAAATGAAAGCCCACAAAATAGAGTCTCCAGTGGTAACCATTACCGAAACCCAAACTAATTTCCACCATTGGATTGTCAAACAATGGTTGAACGAATCCCCTAATTGCAAATTGTCTCTCCACCTAGTGAATGATTTGGTTGCAGAGGGAGAATGACTCACAGTAAAATAATGAAGATAAAATCTGTACAACCAATGATAAAAGTGCGACCAGTTGTTTTCACCCGGTTGATTCTATTGTTGAGCGACCTTGCAGGGATAAAGGCAGGCCTCACCAAGTATCCCAAAATAAGTGGTCCTCGTACCACAGTGAGTACAGTGCAACCCCCTGTCTTGAATAATTCATAAAATTTTCCTTTTCCAGTGATAAGCCAATTTCGATACGAACAATTTACCGAAGGCCAAGGGGGAGGTACGGGCATACGTGTTTAGAATCACTTTGCCAGGATGAGAGGTTGTCCCATTGATTGAACGATGAAAATGAGGATAAGTTGACATTACGTTCATCCATGGAGCAAATATTCCGTTGGAATTTCATTCGGTCCACTACCATCGCTACCCCTCGATCACTCACTTGTATTTTCTCTTTTCACTATTTTCTATTTTATTTTATTCTCTAATTATTAAATCAATTCAATTTTTCATTGACACAAATTCACGCGGAATTATTGCAATCTGTCAATTATTATTGAATCTCATACACGAAAGTAACTCATCTGAAAACGAGACGAATGTCTCGGCGAAACGATAAATTTCATTCTCCACTGCTCCATCTCTGATTCACCCAATCTATATATTTCTCTCATTTTTTTACTTTTAACTTTGCACACACGCCTTTTCTCTGTTAATTAAATCGGTGGAATTTTTTTTTCACAAACAATGATTGAAAGAGGTTACCGCCCATTTATACGTACATAGATATAAATTCTGCCACTCAGGGAACGATAAAAGAGTGGCACTCGATCTGTTTCGAGTACACTTTCACGGGACAACGCACAAAAAGACAGCTGTGGTGAGCGTCATTCTGGGGTATATATATATAAAAATGCCAAGCAGGCGGTTTTTATTTTTCCCCTGGGCGAAAAAAAAAGCATCTCTCAAATAACAATGCCCGACTATCGAATCAATCACATTTCCCATCAGTATTTTCTCCAACGATAGGAGAGCAAAGTGGGAAATCAACTCATCGATTTTATATGAACCGTAAATAAAATTCTCCACCAACTGGGTTAGTGCTGATAATGTGAAAAATATATATCAAGGAGTATTGAATTGAGATCATTAGCAGAACCGAGAGTGCCATTTATGTTGCTCATTTAAACTTTCAGTTGCCGGGGACGGAAAAAGAAGAAGAAAGAGCCAGCAGATTGCGTCTTCAATTAAGCTATTCCGGGTGATGTTTAAGCCATCATGTCAAGAAAGACTCGTTTATCCTGCGGTATAACGAGGTTCTACTTTAATCTTAAATCACCAGCAAATTGTCCACGTCAACTCTGAAACATCTTGAGAGCCCACAAATGTTGATTCTTTCAACTCTAGCTAGTGCAATCGTGAGGATTATTGTTTCTGTCCTCAAAACTCAATCCTGACCTCTGAATTATTTCATTTTTCAATATCGGATTTTCTATTAGGAAGCTATCCAATCCCTCTGGAGTTGTCGGAGAAAAAAAGCAATCGGAACTGGTGAGCGTTGTTAAAGGAACAACAGCTGGTATTGGATTTTGCTTACATCAGGCTCCTCCCCAGGAAAAATCACTGGTAGTCTGGTATGAAGGGGACAAATTCCACCTTTTTTTATCCATTACTTTTCAATTATTTATAAATTGTATCAACACGGGAGGGTAACGAGCGGTAAATTGATGGAGACGGGGGAACTGTATTGGAAGATGTTTTTAATATCTCCAGGGATTTTCCATTGATTTTCTTCTCCGAGAACAATAAATAAATAAATAAATAAAAGGGGAGAATATCGGACTTACCAAGCTGGACATACATCTTCGGCCTGACATTCTCCTGCCACGCGGCAATTGCAAAGCTAAAAGTTGTGATAGCCCAGCAGGAGAAGAAGAGCTGCATGACGTTGGACTTCATCCTGGTGCACATAACTCCAAAAAAAAATTCACGATGTAATCACATTAATCTCAACAATCACCAACCAATTAATCCCAATAAGGCGTTAAAGGGACTGTTTTAAATGGGCAATGCACAAATAAATAATGAGGTCGGTTGTTCTCAAAAATTGCAGCACAACGAAATCATTCGATTAACACCCAACGATAACAAACAATTATTGGCAAACTGAAAGTATCACGTCTCACTTGAGGTGTTGAAAGGTCGCGAGGGGTGAGAGGTCGCTCATGGCAACATCCGTCCGGTACTTCTGCATACTGGCCACTTGTTATCTCCTCCTTATCTCAAATCCTGTATTATTTTAATCACTGATGCACCACAAACACTCACACTTTTTACAGACTGTCTACACGTTAATCATGGGATTGTTGATAAATAGCAGCCGTTAATGACACGCCGGATGGGCCACGGCGGGCCGAAACCGGTGAAACGCGACAGGTGAAACAGGGCGAGGTGGACGTTAACACACGCGAGGACAAACGACGACTCTTCGTCCCTCTTTTTTTATCCTCCCCTTTTTCTCCACTTTAACTCCCTCCAATGGTTGTCAAGATGATACACCAGAGGGCTCAAGGGGTGCTTTTAGATTTATGCGCAATGGTCAACTGCGCACAAATTTCTGGGGGTTGGAGGGGAGGTTGAAATAGTGATCAACGGGAATTGAGGGGAGGGATAAAATAGGGGATGTTCAAATGATATGTTAAAATAGGGGTGGTTGAACGGTGGTGATTTTTTTAAATTGGGCTGGGAAAAATAAAATAGGGGGAGGGGAAAGGGGAGAGGGGGAGTGGAGGAAATGGGGGATGAGACTTGTGAAATCGAAACTTTGATGGGGGGTGGGAGGAAAAAGTGGGAGAATTGGTGACCAACGCTCGGGTAGCTCCAGGAGACGCGCAAGGGGTTGGGGGTGTAGTCGGGAAATGAGGGAATCCGAGGATTTTCTTCAGACTCGTCGTCTTCTTGGCTTCGATCTCCACCTTGTTATGCTGCGGATGTTTGCCACATGGTGGGGATTTGGGACTGACGATTGGATCGCCGATCTGCGAACAGACAAAATTCATGGATTTAGTTTATATGTAAATGTCATTGTGTGGAGACGATTTTTGCCATTTTTCTGGTTTTTATTGGTCTTTGTGGGGACTTTCATATTGGTTAATGCCACCAACTTCTTGGGGGAGGCATTGGGGATGATCGGGGTGGATGCACAGCTTCTTGAAAATTTTTCTGGTTTGAAGGAAGATACATTGGGGGTGTCTATTCGTTTTGAGAAATATTTTGATTTTAGGTCTCGATTCTGGGGTATCCATTGAACACTTGCCAACACTGAAAATCGATTTGACGATTTTCCCCTTCGCTGCTGAATTCTTGGGTAAATTACCGGTTCATGTTGGAATTTACGGACACGTGCATGCCGATTCCACCGAAATTTTGGAGAATTTTTGGAAAAAATTGGACAGCTGTGTCAGGATGACCCATTTGAATTGATCGGTAAAAAAAAAATCGGTAAATGTGATTTGAGTTGATTAAACATTTGGCACAGACATGCGACATACCAATGCAATACCTCTCGACCTTATGCACAACGAAAATAATGTAGATCGGTAAAATCAGTGATAAATCGGTATTAATAAAAAAAGCTGTTAACTCTATTTCCTCAACCACGAATAAATGGAGAATACGTGATTCTGGCTGATCGGTAATAGTGATTGTAAGAGTGAAACTTGATGGTAACGTTGATTAAACATTTGACATAGACATGAGGTATACCCACGAGATAATTCTGGAACGCAGGCGCGATGAAATTAGACCTTAGTGGTTATGGTTGTATGCTAATGGACACAAGAAACACAGAAATGTTGGTTAGAACGTGTATGCGGAGTGCGTAGAGAGCGTGGATGCAGGGGCTTATTGTTTACTCTGGTCATGTACTAGCCAGATATTACCCTCCCCCCCTCAAGTCGATAAACTCAACCGGATGATCATTGTCGTTGCTCGCCAGTACGCCTTCTACCTGTATAACCCCAAATACATTGCGTATATTCTATGAATGCATCCGTGAATACATGGATACGTAACTGTTCATTGTCAACTTGTACATAGATCATACGGGGATAACACTAGCTGCACCGCACTCTCCACCACTTGCATTTATTTTCCTATTTGTTTATTACTCCACTGTGATAACGAAATCGTTAACAAAGGGGAGAAAGGGGATCCACACGTTCTCAGATTTTACACTGAAAATCGAAGATCCAATCAAAGCTACGGACTCAGGTTTAATTATTTATTTATTTATTATTTATATGAATTTATTATTTTATCGGTGAAATATATTTTCTTGTTTTTTTTTGGTTTTCAGGTTTTCGGAGATTTCAAAGAATTTATGGAGGAAATTGTTTTTAGTAATATTTTTATGGGGCAGACCCGCGCAGTCGGAGGATAAAATGAGATGAATGGGAGAGAATCGATTGTAAGAATCCGATTATTAGAATTTTAATTAAATTTTAAACGGTCTTCGGAATTTTTTTGGGAAAAAAAGCGGGAATGAGTTAAAAACGGGTTTTCCCAAATGAAACGGTTTAACCGGCTGTCCAATTTTTTTCAGCACTTCTCCAATATGTTTTTATTGTAATTAATGTTATATATTAATATTGGAATTCAGTATTGATTTTTTTAATGGGTAAGATAAGTGAGTTTTGAGATAAGAGGCTGTGGGGTGATTCAAGGCCACTCATTTATTGAGTTGGACCACTTGATTCTCACTTTCTCAGAGAGAGATCCATTTCAATTCCTTTTTTCTTTGAAACCAGTGCCAATTCAATCGAGAATTATTCCGAACTTCACGAGTTCCAATTTTTATCCACCCTTGTTCCACGGGGTCTCTCAAATATTTATTAATTCCCGATAAAATCTATATTCGTTGTACTGATTTAAATGCACTATCTCTCCGTAAAAATATGTATCAATTAAATCCGATGTCGGGTGAATTTTTATTTAAAACTTCATCCGTCATTCAATTTTAATAAAAAATCACCAGCTAGATATCGAATATTTTTGAATTTTATAATCATTCAATGTAAAAAGAGTTTCTATCGGGAATTTAATCAACGATAAAAATATTTTTTCTTTCATTTTTCTACCGTAAAAATCGGTAGTCGATGAACCAAAATTACACGAGTCGATTTTTTTTTCATATTATAAAAAACATGAAAGAAATTCTGATGAGTGACATTTAATCGGATTTATAAAAAAAAAAACTAGGAGAATTCGGGTTTCAGGGTAAATTACGTGAGAATAAAAAAAAAGTGACAAGTTCACTCGGCAATCGTTCATGACAGAACACTCGCGCAATTTTACCGCGTGAAAATTCCGGTGACTGAACCGCTGTTTGTAAAATTCCAAACTTTTCCCTTGAAATTTCAAGTGCAATTATTTACCCTCAGTCAGCTGAGTGCCACGTGGCAATCCCCAACCCCTGAATCATCTCTACCTGTGACTTTTCGCAATTATCCGCTTCCCTAAGCCCCACAACCCCTTCTTAAACCCCTGAAACAACACATAAACACAAAATCCCCGTTAACCCTGAAAAATCAGGTAAAAATACCCTCTAAATTCGATTTAAACGCACCTCCACTTCCACCCCCATGCAATTCTCCCCGGTAACTGAAAGAAATGCCGTTGTAAATATTGATTACCCCATATTGTCACTGTCCACTGCTCTTTCCCCTCCTCCCCCTCGATAAGCAATCTCGAGCATGTATTGTTTCCCGACACGATGGAGATAAACGGCTCGTTAAACGCGAGAAACACAATATCGAATCGCATGAAAAAATAAAAATAAAAATAAAAATAAAAAAATGATCCAAATCCTTTGATATTCGTTGAAAAATTCCTCCTCAAAAGGCAGGAAAAATCCAATAGCAAACAAATATTTTTCTTTTCTCCCCCACCCACCAACCCCACGAGTGTTCTCTTTATTCAATGTTATTTTTATTTATTTCAACATGAATGAACAAATGAAAAAAACCATGAGTATAAAATATACAGTTATAGAGGCTGTGCGTGTTGAACCGGCAGCTGGTCGATTACGAATGTATTTTGCCCTCCTTCCACGATAATTGGAAATTGATTGGTTGGCCCGTAAAGTCGAGCCGATATTGGCAGATCCCAGTGTACACGTTATCACGCGGTGCTTTTCACGAGAGAAAGAGAAAAAACCTGAGTGAGTGAGCAAGTGCCAGAGCAATGAGGGGAATCGAGGAGTAAAAACGAGAGAGAGAGAGAGAGAGTGAGGGGATGGTGTAAAGGGGGTGACAGAGGGTTGAGGGGGTGGAATGGGGGGAGGTAACGTCCTGCATGGCGAACCACATTCCCGACGTTTCCCAAACCAACCTCCAGTCCTCTCTCTCTCCCTCTTCCTCTCCCTCTCTCACTCCCTCTCTCTTTCTCTCTCTCTCTCCTCTCATCTCCCTTGTCCATGGTCTCGTGTTGTTCGACTATTGATCCCAGGGGAAATGGCCTCACTTTCCCAGTTGCCGATGAATCGGCGAGAAAGATTAAAAAAAAAAGGAAGAAAAAAAAATCATCAGTCTAATCCGACTCCACGGTATCGACGGACGCCTCCTTCTGGGGTATTTATGGAGTCAGTCCCGGTATTCGGGGAATCCTCTCCTCCATATCAGACTCACCAGCTCCATACCCTTCCTTCTCATCCCCAACTCTCAACCACCCTGCCACCCATTTTTTTTTACGTGATTACGCTGGATTATCATTACGTACATTCTGATAAGCTGCATACGTAAGATGTTGTGAATGTGCGTTATCTGGGAATTCTGGAGTTTTCGGTGTGAATCTTGGGAGGAATTGCCTGGGAGGAATCTCATTCGCTGCTGGATTTAATCCAGTCGGGGAATTAAATTGGGGAGAGTTTCGCGGGGAGGTGTTTTAGGTGGATCGAGAAAAATTCGGGGCGATTTTTTTTTTGAAGAAAGGGGAGACACCGGGGAGACGTTTTGGGGATGAAAAATTGAGGGTTTTTTTCTGGAGCCGGCGCGAATTTATGAGATGAAAAACAAATCGTTTTTTATCATCGTTATTGTTTTTATTTTTTAATTGAAAAAATCATGTTTTCCCCAAATCCAAAAATTTATGTTCTCATAAAAATTATTTCATTCCTGACTTTCAAGATTTTTTTATGTTTAAACAATTATTGCTGTAGACTATAGAATATTATTGGCTAAGATTCACGGACTTTTTTAATCCGATTAAATAAAATAAAATGATTACCAACAATGCATTTATAATTCCCCACAAATTGAAATAAAAATACATCCATATTTACCCGCCACTCGCCAATATTTCGAAATGACTTTAAAATATATTTCCAATAATACAACAAAATAACGATAAATGGATTTTTGTTGGGCGTATGATTACAAAGCGTCAGGTGAATTTAAGTTAATTTAGTGTGTAGTACTTTGCCTCCGGAAATAAGTGGTAAGTCCTAAAAATTTAAGGACTAGAGGGCATTTCCAGTCGCCTAAATAAGTGAGAAAGTACGTTAACTGCATTAGAAAACTGTTCCTCGGCGTTACCCAGGAGTCAGTGGTAACCCGGAGAGGACACTGCAGACACGAAGAAGGGGTATCCTGGCGAGAACACCAGAAAATGTGATATACTTTGAGGGCGACAGAGCTTGCACTACAGGTCATACCCCGGCAACTCGAATGAAATACCGATTCACTTCCGTAACGCCCGGTAACTTCGTTACGTCACTTCCGAGTTTTAGGTGAGAGGAAACAACCGAGGCAAAAGTATCAGCCAAACCCATCTAACATTTGGCCTTCTTCCTAAACTCATTGTCTCACCATTAAAATTTTTCCTTCTGCGTTCTCTCCTTTTAACGAACCACTGGACAAACATTATTATCTATTTTCCTCTACTTCGCTATCTTATCTACTTTCGAGATATTTCCTCCAATCCCCGATCAAGTCCAAAGTTTCAGTCATTTATGGATTGAAAAATTATTTTTCGGTTGAAC